GGCCCTGACTTTGCAATTTTGTAAGACAGACACTCTTGCTTTGGGACAAACCTCAAGACAAAAGAGTAAACAAATACAGCTACATACTTCCCTAGGGATGGGCATCAGGGATTGATATTCTAAACAGGTATCAATCACCTTTCCCCTCCCCCAACCAGGGATTGAACTCAGACCTTTGCACTTGCCAGGGAAGTACTTATTCTGCTGAGCCATCTCCCCCAAAGCAGAATTTTATTGGCTCCAGTGTTATTTATTTTTGGTACCGGGGATCGAACTCAGGACCCTGTACTTGCCACGCAGGCACTTATGCCGCTGAACTGTCTCCCTGGCCCAATCACCTTGCAAGAGCCCTAAAGAGTCACTAACGCAACTCCCAACAGGAAAGGACCCTGTCCCACATTCATACCCACTTGTTACGTGACTTGCTTCCTCATTTGGTACTGGATTTATTCAATTTTACCTGAGCAATGGTGCTTGTAATCTCATTGGTTGACCATGAAATTTGTCCCACCTCATGCCCACCTAAGCGAGTTCTCATGTTCTCCTCTACCTTAGACCTGCCTCACCCTATGGTTTTACACCATAAGTCCCTGGAAGAGACAGCTTCCCGAGGACAACCCGCTCAGGCCCCTGCTTCTGTTTCTCTCTAGGATAGGAGTTTTCTTTCCCCCAACAAATATATTCTGCTCACAACCTCTGTTTGTTCCTAAAATTCATTGTTTGGTTTTAAAGAACACGAACTCGTCCCAGGTACCTTTCAGGTTGGGAGGTCCATTTTTTTCCCCTGTGTCATTTGGAGATCATCCACTGAGATCATTTTTCCCCTATATCGAAAAGATAGATGGGTAGGTGAGCATTCCAGCAGCCCCAAGATATTAAAAACCACAACAGTATGTCCAAGAGCTGAGTTGGGTAGGGTGGGTGAGAGCAGGATTGACTGAGGATCCTGGATCAAACCTTAACACTCAGCCATTGTTCAGAGAGCTAGATTCTAAGTCCAGGGGGCTGCCACTTGGAGAGCAGGGGAGACAATCTTGTCTCTTCTACCCAGGTGTCCTGGCTACTGGTGGGGGCAGGGTCATTTCAAACAAGAGCTTCACCGCTGGGTGCTGTTCAGAGCTAGCGCGCCCTCTGGTGGGTACGGAGTGGTGAGTGGTGATTCTGCAAAGACGTGGAACTAGGTAACCATGGTAGGGTGGGTGCAGGAAAGTAGCAGAGTAGCTACTCTGGAGTCTCAGATCAGAAGCAGCAGCCGTGAGACCAGCTAGTAGCCACTGGGCGGCTAAGGAGGGGTGGATAGGTCTGCCCCGGGCAGTGTAGAACAGGAAGACAACACTTTTTCACCCAGGTTGCTGGAGGGCCCCTACCCTGTGTCTGGCCAGGCTTTCTTTGGAGCCCAACTGCCTTTAGGAATCCAGCCCCAACGGAAAAAGCTTCTGGCCTCAGGCTGGACCACTGAGCTTATCTCTCTATCTCTTATTCATGCTCCAAGAAGTCTAGAAGGAAGTGAGAAGCAGGTTGGGGGAAGGGGACATTTGTCAATGAAGTACGGAAATTTCAAACTACAGAGGGGATCTCTGCTACCGAGGGAGTTGTTTTTGAGATTTGAGGTCTCATGTATTTCAGGCTGGCCTTGAAATCGAAATCAGTGGTCTTCCAGCATCAGCCTGATGAGTGTAGGATGACACGTGTGTACCACCATGCCCACTGAGAGGCATAGTTTGAAAGGTGAAAATGAAGAAGAAAAGCAGAGGCCAGCTATGGAGGAAAACCCACGATGTACCCTACTTGTTGCCGCACAGGCTCAGTAGTCCAGTGGGGCTTATTGATGGAGAATATGGAAAGGCCAGAGCAGTAGGACCACTCGTGGATGTCAGGCACTCACTAGGGGTCAGTCTGCTCTGAAGGGTCAGATGTTCGAAGAGACAAGGGGCACAAGTTTTTTTGTCTGATGGGACTAGGAAGATAGCTCAGTAGAATAAGTGCTTGCCTGGCAAGCACAAGGGCCTGAGTTCAATTCCTGGTTCTGCAGACAGGGTTTCACTATGCAGTTCAAGCTGGCCTTGAGCTCAATTTGCAGCCCAGGTTGATCTTGAACTCTCAGTGATCCTCCTGCTTCAGCCTCCAAAGTGCCTGGATTACAGGCATATGCCACCATGCCCAGCCTCATAAGTTGTTTTGTAATAGGGCTACCAAGAACCCATCAAAAAAAGTGTAGAACTCAGCAAAGGAGGTACCCCACATTATTGGAACGATTTTCATCTTCAAGAAGTCTAAGTACTGCCTTGGGGCCCTATACTGGTACTGTGGGGTCCCCATCCAGCCAAGATCTGGACTCCTGCCTTTCCAGGGGGAGTGAGGTAAGGACAATCAGGGGTACCACAATGGATCGTCATTCTTGACTGAGGCTCTCCGGATGATGGATGTCCATACAAGCATTGACCAAAGACGGGAAAGGTTCTACCTCAAAGATTTAGAGGTTCAGCAAATAAGTGTGCTAGGTGGAGCAGACTGAGGCTTGCAGTGCCAGGAAAGCCCGACCTGGACGCTAAGGCTGTTCTGTAGGAGTGGAAGCCCAGACGAGGTGTAATACTACCAAAGGAGTTTTAGGAACCAGGTGGTTGTTGCAGGTCCGGGGAGACAGGTGAGGGGAAGGTAGCTGGGGAAACTGGCGCAGGCGCGCTGGAGTGGGACCTACCCAGTGGCTACGCCCAGCCTTGCGAGTAAATATTTGACATTCCAGGCTTATTGGAGGCGGGACAGAAAAGCAACCTTCTCCCCTCCCCCCATGCCTGATTGCTTAGTGCTGGGGGGGGGGGAAGAGGGGACAGACTGCAGGCTGGTGCTGATATTGACAGTGTGGAGAGGGGTTCTTTAGGCCAGGGAAAGTGCTGGCAGACCTGGACTAGAGGTCCACCTTCCACGCTCTCCCGATCGTCGTGCCCTAGTGTGAGTCACTTCCTTCCCAGACGCTGCTGTATGGCAAGGCTCTCTGACCCCAGGCTGCGGCCCTTTCCCAGAGCCTAAGTTGCGGGTCTACCCAGGTCTTCCGTTCTGTCCACAGGCCGGGGTGTAGCGCCCCTCTTTTCGAACCCAGTAGGAGCGACTTTAGCCTGACTCAGGTCGAGTTTGGCAATCTCATGTCCTCTTCCCCCAGGCTGGAGGCCCCTTTTTCCGCAGAATTACAAGTTTCTAGGTCACATAGAATGGGAGAATTTGGGAACACACAGGGCAGCCAGGAAACAGGGAGTCTCACCAAGCTGCCAGGGGCAAAAGGGCGAGTATTCGGGATTGGGTTGCTGCCTCTGACGGGAGAATGGCTGATGGCTCCGTAGCCTGCAAACTCACTTCTCCAGGGAAGCGGCCGGTCGACGGCGACGGAAACGGGGAGGGGCTCCCACCTGGGGTAAGGATGCGGCTCTAGTCCCCCACCATCCTGCTCAGGCTTCTCTAGGCTGCAGCTCGCGCGGCTCCGGAGAAGAGGTGGCTCCTCGGGTGCCCCTTCCCAACGTCAAGGCTGGCGCACTCCGGCCCACTGTAAACCGCGCTCTGCCCCGCGGCACTTCACTCGCCCAGGTTGGGGCCGGCCCTGGCACCTGTGTGGACAAGTTCTTCCCTCTGATCTCTGGTGACCGCCCACAGGTCTAAGGTCCCCAGATCTCTGCCGCCCTCTCTCCTCCAACCGACATCTGATGATCCCTCCCATAGGCCTCTGGCAGACGCCTGGTAATTCTCACCGTCCCCTCAGACGCTTAGTGACTTCCATCAGCCCCAAGCTGGCCGTCGTGACCCCCACATTCCCTAGACTGCCTCCTGGTGGCTTCTACAGGTCCGATGTGACCCTGACGAACTGGAGAAGGCCTCTGGTCTTGGATGTCCTTTTGCAGAGGTCCCACAATCCCCGCAGAAGAGGTGAGGAAGAACGGGTTCGCCCCAGAAGTCATTCAGAACCAGACTAGAAAGTGGAAAGCAAGTCCCGAACGCGCTCCCGGGCTGGGAGTGAGAGTTCTTAAATCCTGGGCTGGGTTTTGGCCCTCCCCCAAGGATCCCCGGGCCGCCCCCAGTCACGTGGCCCGCGGGGCCGCCAGGTAACCCAGAGAGGGAGCGAGAGGCCGGCATCCGCCCCGCCAGGCGCCGCGGGCGGGTCACAGCTGCGCCCACTGCCCCAGCCGGGGCCGCAGGTGCCGCCCCCAGCACGCTGCGTCCCGCCCAAGCCCATCCGTGTTCGCCGTCGGACGGTGCGTGCGTGCGCCTCGTCGGTCCGCGTGTGTGGCCGAGCGCCCCCTTCCTCCGCGGCCATGACGCCGCCGCCGCCGCCGCCCCCGGGTCCAGACCCTTCTATAGACTCCGCCGCAGACCCTTGTGCGGGGTCAGGATCTCTGGTTGTGCTATTCGGGGCTACGGCCGGTGCGCTGGGGCCGGATCTGGGCTCGGATGAGACCGACTTAATCCTCCTAGTGTGGCAAGTGGTGGAGCCACGAAGCCGCCAGGTAAGCTAGAAAAGAGGTAGAGGAGTCGTCAGGGCCCAAGGCGCGCGGCGGCTGATCGATTTCCTCACCGGTCACAGGTGGGAACGCTGCACAAGTCGCTGGTTCGAGCCGAGGCGGCTGCGCTGAGTCCGCAGTGCCGCGAGGCGAGCGGCCTGAGCGCGGACAGCCTGTCGCGGGCCGAGTCGCTGGACAAGGTGCTTCAGCAGGTGAGCGCCGGGAGCGGCGTGGGTGGCGGCGCGGCGGGCCGCCGGAAAGTTTCTCGGCTAGAGAGGCGGCAGGAGGCTAGGCCTGGCGATCAACCGGCCGGGGCGGTAGCACAGGGTCTCGTTTGAAACTTAGGCTCCCGCGTGTGTCTGTGTACGCCGGCCATTCCCAGCGGCGCCTTCCTTTTCAGCCTTTCAGACGTCCTCCTTTGCGAAGGGGGTGGGGATGGCGGCTGCGGGATCCACCTCAGCCAACCGGGAAGGGAGGATGAAACTTCTTGAGAACCTGCCGAGTCAGATCTTGGAGAGCAGCAGCCAGAAGCAAAAAGATCAGGGGTTCTGGACTTGGTCATTGGTCCCTGGACCCTGCCGTCCGCGTCCTATGACCACTTGTCCGCCTCCCCCATCCTGGGCGCTGCGGGGGCGTAGGGCGGGCGGTGTCTGCCTCGGGGGCAGACGCCGCCAGGTGTAAGCTGCTGGTCCAGGCCTGTCCCTGCGGGTTGGCCAGGCGTGGGTGCTGTCCGTACCCTGCCTGGGGGCCACCTGCAAAGTAGTGTAAAGGCCTGGGATGCCTCCCGACTTTGGCTGAAGTGGGAGGCAGTTTCCATGGCTGTTTTGCTTTGTCATTACCGCGGCACTCACTCTGAATAGGTTTTGAATGTAACCAGTGTTTTACATGTAAATGTTTTTATCTTCCAACTGGTGGTGGTTCTTGATGAGAACCCTCAAAGGTGCAGGACACACCAAGTCCGAGTCTGTTCCAGGAGCGCTCCGGCCTAGTCCTCACTTGGGGAGGGTGCTAAAGAACAGTGGGTGCCTTGGTCTTCCAGTGTCCAGAGTTGGCATGGGCAGGGATGGGGGTGGCGGAGTCTGTGATTAGGGATTCCACCGTTTGTACTGGTTCTCCAGCTGGGATGAGCTAAGGGGAGGCGCTGGGCAGCCTGTGGAGTGCACCCCCTCTGTGAGCAAACAGCTCAGTGCCAGCCGGTCATAGGTTGTGGGTCAAAGCTCATGCTGCCCCTGGTGTCCAAATGTGGAGCCCTGTCCTTGGAGTTTCCCCTTCCTGCGGTTGGTCAGACCTGGAGGCGGGGCTGCCATTGACCATGAGCCTTCTGGCCTTCAGGCAGGCCTGGGCCTCCCCCACCTGTCTGAGGGTGTTGCCTGGTCAGGGACAGGTTTAACCTGCTTTGCCCCGCCCCTTCCCACCTGCTTGTCTGATTCCACCAGGTGTTTGCTCTGGCTCCACTCCAGACTCTTGTAGTGTGTGAGGGGTCCTTGGGTTATATGTGGCTGCCCTCATTTGGCCTGGAGGAGGTGACAGTGGACTTGGATGGGGTGGGGGGTTGCTGGGCAAGGACCCAGAGTAGGCCCAGTAGGTGTGGCCTCCTCCTCCCCCGGCAGGGTAGGGTTGAACATCTGGCTGAACCAGCTTTGCAGCCCTCATCCTACCCCAGTTCCCCAGCTGTGGGTCTGTGTCCTGAGTCTCTCTCCTGATTTTCTATCCCTAGTTCTCACAGCTGGTGAACAGGGATGTGGTTCTGCTGGGCGGGGGCCCCTATGTGCTCTGCACTGATGGGCAACAGCTGTTGCGACAGGTCTTACATCCTGAGGCCTCCAGGAAGGTATGCCACTGAGGGCACCGTGGGTGGTAGGGTTCCCAAGGCCCTTATGGTAGTGGGGGCAGGCAGGACACCTCATATCCCCCATTCATCCCCACTCCCATGTACCCCCAGAATCTGGTGCTCCCCGACACCTTCTTCTCCTTCTACGACCTTCGCAGAGAGTTCCATATGCAGCACCCGAGCACCTGCTCTGCCAGGGACCTCACAGTGGCCACCATGGCACAGGGTATCTGACCCAACAGGGTTAAGGTGGAGGGTGGTTACAGGCTGTGTGTGTTTAAGCATGTGCATGCTGCTGGGTGGGTTCTAGAAACAAAGGTAGGTCTGCATTGTCTGCTGAAGGGACCTGTGTCTGTGTCTAAGCTGGAATGCATTTGGAATGTGGGTATATGTCCCTGTGTCTGGACTGGGGACCTGCATGTGCATGCACAAACTGGATGAAAACAAATGTATATATTTGCTGGGATCTGCTTGTATCTGTGGAGGGGACTTGGACCCAGTTATGAACATGATTAGTGCTCATGCTGGATGCTCCAGTATGTGTTCCACTGGGATTTCTTCATTGTCACTTCTCTACCCGTAGATTTGGGATTAGAGACAGATGCCACAGAGGATGACTTTGGGGTCTGGGAAGTGAAGACAATGGTGGCTGTCATCCTCCACCTGCTTGAAGGACCTAGTGGTAAGGCTCCCATACTATCTGTCACCTGCTCACAGGGTTGGGTGAATGCCTATTACTTCCTCAGTCTTTTTTGCGCACTTGTGATTTTCTCTAAAAGAACACAGGTTAGTTGGGTGTGGTGTTGCACGCCTGTAATCCCACCACTCAGGAGGCTAAGGTAGGAAGATCATTGTGAGTTGAAGACCAGCCTGGGCTACAAAGTGAGCTCAAGGCCAGCCTGAACTACACAGCAAGACCCTGTCTCAAAAAGAAAAATAATTAAAAAATAAAAGAACAGAGATTAAAGCCCCTTTGTCACCTCATCCCCCTCAACTGTCCTCTTTTTGCAGAGTTTGGTGGGGAGACCTCCTCCACCAGACCCTGCTGACTCCCATGCTGTCTTCTCTCAGGTCAATTGTTTTCGAAGCCCGAGGTGGTAAAGCAGAAATATGAGACGGGGCCTTGGTGAGTGTGGGAGCAGGGGTGGGGATAACACAAGTTGGACAGTTCTGACCCTGTGTCCTGCCCCCCACAGCAGCAAGGCTGATGTGGTGGACAGTGAGACTGTGGTACGGGCCCGTGGGTTGCCCTGGCAGTCATCAGACCAGGATGTGGCTCGCTTCTTCAGAGGGCTCAACATTGCCAGGTGGGTGTGGCAGGGTATGAGGGCCAGGAGGGCAGGTCTGCCCAGGATGTACTAACAGTGCTGGCTCTGCAGGGGTGGTGTAGCCCTCTGCCTCAATGCCCAGGGCCGAAGAAATGGTGAGGCCCTCATCCGCTTCACAGACAGGGAGCAGCGGGACCTCGCTCTGCAAAGACACAAGCACCACATGGGTGTCCGCTACATTGAGGTGGGACTTTGGGCAGGGAGTGGAGCAGGGCCACGCGGAGTCAGGCTTGAGACCCATGGGCTGTTCACTCTGTACCCACAGGTCTATAAAGCAACAGGGGAAGAGTTTGTGAAAATTGCAGGGGGTAAGTGTGCTACCAGCCGTGCTGAACTGTTTATTTTTTTGTGTGGTATTGGAGATTGCACTCCCCCATCCCCCTTTTTTTGGTCTTTTTTGAGACAGGGATTCACTATGTAGTTCAGGCTGGACTTGAACTCGAAGTGATCCTCCTGCCTCAGCCTCCCAAGTGCTGGGATTACAGGCATGCACCACCATGCCCAGGTTTTTTTGAGTGGGCCTTGCTAAAATACGTAAGGTGCGCTTACTGTGATTCTCCTTCCTCAGCCTCCCAGTGCTGGGATTATATGCACGTGCCACTATGCCTGGTTATCTCCCCTCCTTCTTGACCTCTATCCCATTCCCTGGCATCCCTGTCTTTCTGCTCTTATGTGTGTAGGGGGTTGGAAGTTCACAAATGAAGTGAGACGACTTCCACACCGACTCCCATACCTCCCACTCAGGCACATCACTAGAGGTAGCTCGTTTCTTGTCACGGGAAGACCAAGTGATCCTAAGGCTTCGGGGACTGCCCTTCTCAGCTGGGCCAACAGACGTGCTAAGCTTCCTGGGGCCAGAGTGCCCAGTAACTGGGGGTGCTGACGGGCTGCTCTTTGTGCGCCACCCTGATGGCAGGCCAACTGGTGATGCCTTTGCCCTCTTTGCCTGTGAAGAGCTGGCACAGGCTGCACTTCGAAGACACAAGGGCATGCTGGGTAAGCGGTACATTGAACTGTTCCGGAGCACTGCAGCTGAGGTACAGCAGGTGAGTGCCCAGGGATCCCACTCTAACGGGCTGTTTTCCTAGGGTGTGCCTTCGGTCACTTGTGTTGGTGCTGGTGTGATAGGATCTGTTCTTATTCTTACTAGGTCCTGAACCGCTATGCATCCAGCCCACTCCTTCCCACACTGACAGCTCCACTGCTGCCCATCCCTTTTCCACTGGCACCTGGGGCTGGGAGGGACTGTGTTCGCCTTCGAGGATTGCCTTACACAGCCACCATTGAGGATATCCTGAGCTTTTTGGGGGAGGCAGCAGCTGACATCCGGCCTCATGGTGTACATATGGTGCTCAACCAGCAGGTGAGGCTGCTGCAAGGAGGGTGTCACACGGATAGAAAGGGGTGTGTTACGAGCAAGGCACTCTTCCACACCACAGAGCGTTCATAGGTTGTTGTGCACAGGGCCGGCTATCTGGTGATGCCTTCATCCAGATGACATCAGCAGAGCGGGCCCTAGCAGCTGCTCAGCGATGCCACAAGAAGATGATGAAGGAACGATACGTGGAGGTGGTCCCCTGTTCTACAGAGGAGATGAGCCGTGTGCTGATGGGGGGAACCTTGAGCCGCAGTGGCATGAGTCCTCCACCCTGCAAGCTGCCCTGTGAGTGCCCCAGGGTTTGGAGGAGACGTGGGAGCTGGCGAGGACTCCTTTCTGGCTGCTCCACCCAGGACTTACCGGGCTCCACATAGATGCACTCTCTATTTGTCTCTAGGCCTCTCACCACCCACCTACGGCCCCTTCCAGGCCACCCAAGCTCTCATCCCCACTGAGACGGCAGCTCTGTATCCTTCTTCAGCACTGCTCCCAGCTGCCAGGGTGTCTGCTGCCACCACCCCTGTTGCCTACTACCCAGGGCCAGCCACTCAACTCTACATGAACTACACAGCCTACTACCCCAGGTATCCTGCTAGAACCCCATAGACCTGCTGCTTGTTTGGGAGGGGGCAGGAATCCTTTCTGGGCCAGATAACCTAAGGTCTACTGGACTTTTATTCTGAGGGACACTTATTTTGAGAGACAAAGGATGGATGTAATCTCAGCTCTTGGGAGGCTGTAAACAGGTGGACCACTACGAGTCCAATTTATTTGTGAGACCCTGTAGACCCTTCCCTAAAATACAACCCCCCCCCCCCATGCAGATCTGTTCGTGGCCATCCACCCACAGTATGAGATGAGAATCTGTTGCAGGGATTGGAGGCAGGGGTTTTAGGAAGAACTAAGCATGAGACAGAGGCAAGAGGCGGGGGGAGTTATAGGTAGGATTACTACTAAACCTGTCTTTCTGATCCTAGCCCCCCAGTTTCCCCTACCACTGTGGGCTACCTCGCCACACCTCCTCCTGCTCTAGGCTCTACTTCCACCTCAGTGTTGTCTCAGCCAGGAGCCCTGATCCGAATGCAGGGCATCCCATACACAGCTGGCATGAAGGATCTGCTCAGTGTCTTCCAGGCCTACCCGGTAAGGTTGGAGGGCTGGAGGGCCTGGCTGACCGTGGCGTTTCCCATCCTAAGTCTGTGTCCCTTTCACAGCTAGCCCCTGATGACTACACCACTCTGATGCCTGTTGGTGATCCATCTCGCCCTGTGTTACAAGCCCCCAAGGAGTGGGTGTGTTTGTAGGTGAGGAAGCCAGGAACTGAGAGCTAGCTGATGCCTTCAGCTGTCGTACCTTTTCAGCATGCAGAGTACCTTCACTCCAGTGGCTTCTTTCTGGCTTGTCAAAGCTTTCAGAAGGCACCCAGAGAAGACCAAGCCCAGCTCCATCTTCTACTTATTTTTCTTCTTGTTCACCCTGAAGATGGCTACCCTGAATGCAGGGCTAAGGGTGGAAAGGGATGTCTTGCTCTGAACAGCATGGCTGGGCCTCTTGAGTGGCACCTGGAAAGCTTTTGAGCTGTCCTGCACAGGCCTGTATCCAGTGGGCCTGACAGGCTGTCTAAATGCTGGTGCCCGCCCTCAATGTGTGACTCCTAGAGAATCAAGGGTCTGAGTCTGAGTGAGGATCCCAATAATCTCCCCATCCTCTCCTATGGGAGGTGGGAGGCAGAAAGGCAGAGTCAGTTCCTGCCCTTAGGATACTGGATTTCAGAGACCATACTGTAACAGGGGTGGCCTCACCTAAGGGTGCTACCCTCCTCCAAACAGGCCCAAGAAACGCCAAGTGGATAAACCGCAAAGTATTCTGGACTATGCTGCAGAATCTTCAGAGAACACTAGGGGGCAGGAGGACCCCACACAAAAACTCAGGCTTGAATTTTAAAGGAACTGTTCCAATTTTTTTGCCCGCCCTTTTTTGTGCTGGGTATTGAACCCTGGGCCTGGTGCATACTAGGAAAGTGCTCACACTGTGCTATACACCCAGTCCTTTTTAAGACAGATTCTTGGTAAGTTATCTGAGCTGGCCTTGAACTTGTGGTTTTGCCTCAGCCTCCCCAGTAGTTGGGATTCTAAGCCTGCCCCATGACCCCGCTCTCCTGCCAACTTTTTTTGCAACACCATGGGAAAGGCCAGTTGTCCTAAACTCTGCAAACAACATGGAATGTCCTTTACCTGGTAAAGAGTGCAAAATTCAAGCCTTAGGAATTTGGAACTTTCTCCTGTATAATACGAACAAAATTTCCCATCCAGGTAGACTTTTAAAACGTCACAGATCCCTTAGCTCTGGCCCCAGAGTGAAGGGCTCTACACTAGCCCCAGGCAGAGAAAAACTCAGATGTTGTGGAGACTGCTGATGTGTCACCGTGTTACTGTTTATTATTTCAGCACTATAACTGAGGAAGCACCTGAACAACTGCCTTTTCTTCCCTTTGTATTTGTGTAAGGAGCACTGCACTCCTATAAAAGCTTTATAAAATGTACAAGGAAACAATCCCAAGTGCTGTAAACATAACTCAGAACCAGTTTCTTACTAAACATCCATTTTATAAAATGCAAGGTTTCAACTTGTGCCTTAAAGATGACTATCTGTTCTGAGTATCACAAACAGGGCTTCATGGCCAGGCCCTGCAGAGGTCTGGTGATAATGGCTGGCCCTGGATGGGTTGGATGTACCCTGGGCGGCGGCACCGTATGCAAACTCAACATCTGTTCCTTTTATTTATTTTTTGCGGTACCGGGGATTGAACTCAGGACCCTGCACTTACCCTGCTTATTCTACTGAGCTATTTCCCTGGCCCCACATCTGTTCCTTTTAAAGCTGTTTTCAGCCGTATTTCTCTATGCATCTCTGTAGCAAAAGCAGAAGGCTACTAGTGCCATTCCCCAATCTAAAATGTAGTGCACAAGTCTGAGAAGGGAAGGGTGTGTGCTACTACATGCCCAACTGCTCAGTGCTGCTACTAGAAATTAATTTGCATAGTCCAGTGGATGTGTACTTTAATACCACTCTGTTGCACAAAAAATTGAACTCCTTATCTACAAGGCCAAAAAATACTGACTCTTACATGAAAGCTTTTACAAAGCTAATATAAAATGGCTTACATAGTATACAAAGCTCTATTTTAAAATTTAACCTTTATTTTAAATAGGAAAGCATTTCTAGTGCTACAGGCATCAAGGTATTTAAAAGGCATCATAATTTGGTGCATAGCAACTCTGGATCATAGAGGCTTTTATTCTTGAGGGTCTTGCAGGACCCTATGTGAGGCAGCTACTTTAGGGGCAAGAGGGTAGAAGCAACTCTGGCCATGTCTCTGAACTTTACCTGAGAGTCCAGCCTCCTACCCTTCTGAAGGAAGCTGTGGGCTTCCAACCAAGGCCCTGAAGCAAATCTGACTACCCACTCTTGAGACACATAATCCACTTTCCAAGAAAATTTGAAACACCCACCTCTAAGAGGGGCTATAGTGATTTGTTGAATAATACTGTTCTCTATTTTGATGGGAGAAATCTAAAATGGGCTTTTTAAAAAAAAAAAAAGCCATGCTTCATACAGACTAACAGCTCCTATGTTGCTGAGTAGAAGTGGTGACCAACACATCAGCTCTTTGTTCAGGCCTGACTTGACCTTAGAAGAAAATGTCCTGGCACCCAAGGTCCACAATCCACTTGAATAACATCAAGTCTTCAACCAGCCCAACACACTCTCAGGTGTAGGCACTCAACACATTTGCTTCCTGAATAGAAGTTTATTTCATTTAAAAGGTATACTACAAACTTCAGGACTTTTGAAATATGCCTAGAAACGAGTAACAAATCCCACTGGAGGCAGGTTTAAGGGTGGGATTTGGAAAAAGTACCCAATTTGGGCACACCTTTGGTAGATAGGCTGGAGTTTCTGCTGGACCCTGCCTTGGATGCCAGTCACTTGCAGCAGCACCAGGGCATCTTTGGTGTGGAGCATAAGATCTATGATGCCACCTCATTTTAGACATACTTTAGTGCTTTCTGGAGAAGCTGGTGTTTAGGTCATACACATGGGATGGGGTAGGCCAGAATGATTTCGAGCTGTAAACAGAATGGGAGGTAAGGCTTCCCATCTGGAATCTTGCATGTTCTCTGCCCATCCTGATTTACAGCTCATTGTGTTTAGCTCCTGATACAGCTGGGTTGGCCTCCAGCACAGTCACAACTGCGCAGCTGCCTGAGCCATCAGGAGACCTGCTTCAAAGGTAACAGAACCCCCAAAGGAAGATGTTCTACCTGGAAAAGAATTTGGGGCCAAATAGAGCACTAGTTTTTAGGATGGCAAAAACATAGAAGTTTCCAAGTAAGACTGCTTCATAACTGCTTTCAAAGTCACCTTGCAAGTAGCCATCTTACACTCTTGAAAGAAAAATAGTTTCAATATGGAGCCAGTAAGGAGAGACTGCAGGAAGATGACCTAGAAAGTTATAAAAAGGCTATGCTCTGGAATGTCTTTATATTCCAACACTTCAATGATGGAATGGTCTCTTCTTGTTTTACCTAACAATTTACTTTTATGAAGAGTATGAGCTATATTTGGCTTTATTTCCTATAAATCTATGGCTTCAGGATACATGCTGAGTTTCTGAGGCATAGTTACGGGCTTAGGATAATTTTTCCCCCACTTGCCTCTAGAAGGTTTTATCAAAAGTTCCTATTTTTAAGGTATCAAAACTAAAGGGCCCTTCAAATGACCAGAAAATATAAATCACCAATCCTAGCTACACAACCAAGTCATTTGCAAAAGCAACAGCTCTGAAAAGGAGAACCTGCTGCATTCACACTCGAAGCACCCATCATATAAAAGTATCCTATTTAAATATACAAAAATGCAAAGCTCATTTTTCCACAGCTCAACAGCCCATGCTGCTCTGATTCTTTTACAAAATCTAACCAAGGCCAGAGGTGGAGGAATGCCACTCTCCACAAACCCTGAGTCCACTCCCTGGCATCGGTCCTGAAGGCGAAAGAATTGGAAATTCAAGGTCCAAAAGAGAAACATGCTGAGAAGTTGGTGGTGGACACAAGGCTGCAGTAAGCACTGTCAGAGCTGGTCAGATCTTCAATCCAGGGACTCGGGACCCAGGTGAGGAGTCTCTCTGCTAATTTGTGGGCCTTGGGAAACAGACACCTGGGACATATCTCTTCCAATTATCTCGTTCACTGAAAAAGAAAAGGCAGAGTGATTAGTAGCTCCAATGACACAATATGCTGGTCTATGCTGAATTCAGTCATTGTCACCCCCATGGCTTCTGCAAAAGGTAAAGGCAGCAATTGAAGCCTGCTCTGGAGCTGAGTCTCATTAAAGAGCAGTATCATTGCTGGGGAGATGGCTCAGCAGCGTAAGCACTGCCTGGCATGCGCAAGGTCCCGAGTTCCATCACTGGTACCAAAAATAAATAAAACTAAAGACAAGTATCACTGACCAAGAGGGTCCAGACCCCTTTCTCTTCCTCTAAATTTTGTCTGGCTGGGAAAGAGAATGCCTGAGAGAACACGATACATTTTTTTTGACTAAGTCTTAACTATATAGTATAGTAATTGTATAGTAACTCACAGCCATCTTCCTGCCTTAGCCTCCCAAGATCTGGGACTTTTTTTTTAATTTTTTTTTTTTTTTAAATCTGGGATTTCAGTGGTGTACCACCATGCCTGTTTTTTGTTTTGTTTTAAATTTAACCCCTGGCAATGCCTTATCACTGAGCTATATCCCAGGTCCCTTATTTTTAACTTTGAAACAAGGTCTTGCTAAGACTTTCAATCACCTGGACTGGGCTCAAACCTGTGATCTCTCTATCTCAGCCTCCTAGAGTAATGGGACCACAGGTATGCAAGCCGCCCTCTCTGGCTTTTTGAGGTAGTGAGTTCAGTCTCGCCTTGATCTCATGGTCTTGAGTACTTATGATTATGTATATCCACCACTTTGGCAGAACAGAAAACATTCCTGTCCTCACTCCACAGGCTCATGCTCTAGAGCAGAGGGCAGGAGACCTTTCACATAACAAAGTGTTCACCTTACCTTGGTTTTCCCCAATTTGAATTCCTCTGGGGAAGTTGTCTGGTTCCCACAGTGCCACATACAATATAAAACAGATGAACATGTAAGATTTGGCCAGAGAAAACCAGAGATTTGGGGGCTATTTTGTTATTCTGTCCCAGTATGAACACCCTGTATCACGTGGACACATTTATACTGTTTGTGGTTCTTTCTTTTTTTTTAACTATTTTTAAAAAATTAGGGAC